CTTCAATTAAACACTGACTGCATTTAGCAGTGAAGGGTCACTTGTAAGTCAGATAGCTCAGGTATAATCAAGGCTATGAAAGCAGCACATATGAAAAAAAATTGTAGTTGGCTGTTGTGGTATAGATTATTTCTTGATAGAAGAGCATGAACAGTGACTAATTCATTTACAGATTTAGAAAATGAATTAGTTCTAGACTTCAGTAGTAATGAGTTAAGTAAAAGGAAGAATTAAACAGTGAAGATAATACATTTACGAGACTATATAAAAAACAACAGCAAAGTTATCACAAAGATAATTTTTAATATATAAAATGAAAACTACTGTACACTCCACACAGAATGTCATTTTTTTTTGTCTTGGTTGAAAAATTATATATTATTTCATGTACATTGTGTGCATAATAAATGTTGTATTTATATATCATATGTGTATATTCGCTGATTATATGTTATATCAAGGAAGATTTTCTGATTTTTAAATGACTACTTGGCATAGTGGCAAGGCAAGTTTATTTATATAGCACAATTCAACAACAAGGTGATTCAAAGTGCTTTACAGACACATTAAAAAACAAAAACAAATAAAAATCATGATTTAAAATGGGGGGGGAGGAAAAGTAGATAAAACCAGTAGTTAAAATGTAAGTTTTGAAGTTTAAGCTTACAAGTAAAACAGTGTGGATTTGGTGCTTTATTCAAATGCACAGGCAGCCAGTGTAAAGACCTCTGAGCTGAGCTGATGTGGTCCACTTTTTTGGTCTTAGTGAGGACTCGAGCAGCAGTTCCGAATGAGCTGTAGTTGTCTGACTGATTTTTTTAGGTAGACCTGTAAAGATGCTGTTACAGTAATCAAGCCTACTAAAGATGGCAGGTAGTGTTTTTTTATGACATATATACACTGGGATAGCATATTCAATGGTGTCACTATGTTAAGTATTTGACTAATAAGCTCAAGTTGTGTTTGACCTATATACACAGATTAACTGTTGTCTACATTTATATCATATGTTAACTCTTGATGCACAGCTGTTGTTTTGCAGACTAATAATTCACATAAAGAGGTAGTTTAGATAGTTTTATGTTTGGTTTTGATAGGTTCATGACTTATACTTCTAAAAAGAGGACAATTTGTTGTTACTTTATTATTCCTATTAACATATACGAAATAAAACATTCAGTCAATCAAAACTAAGGGACATTGCCAGGATACAACTATAACTGAAAGTCACTAATGACGCTATCAGTCTGTGAGAGGTGTAGGAAAATGAGGTCATGGACATTTTGTATTTCTTTGTCTGCCATGATGTATCACTCATGAAGCAGCATCTATAACTTTGTCAGTTTTGTTGCTTTGTATTGACTGACAACCATGAGAAGTCAGTGCTCAGTTAGCTAAAAGAATTAAGAATCACAGGGTGACTTTTTTAATAAAGATTAATTAGTGTCACCCTCTGTACTTTAACGTGAATATGTGCAAAATATGGCATTTGTAGGCAGTTACATATGTCATATTTTTAACAGTGTTGTTGGGTGAGAAGAGGAGGTTTCTGACAGATTCAGAATAAGCTGAGCAATTGGATTTCAATAAGTCAAAAACCTTGTTGCCTATCCCTTATGTCTGACAGAGTGAAACCAATTTTTTTTTTTTTATTATTGACAATTTTACAGCAGCAAAATAGTAAATATTATATACCTTTAGTAAAGCTCTGTTGTTGGTTGTTGATGAATCCACTCCAGAAGAGTCACTGATCAAACTGTGACACATTGATTATATATAAACCCATTCTGGGAAAAAAAACCTGCTAAATTTGGCTTTCAGAAAAAGTCTGAAACCAAAATGAGATCATCTGTATTTTCCAGTGGCTACCGTATGGGTTTTCTGCCAGCATCTTGTTTTGTAATCTAAATGAAGTCTCTTTATTAGCCATGAAAGAAGCTGTAGTGAAAGAAGTTTGAAAAAACACCTTGTGTGTCTTCAAAAAGTAACATGTGACTAAAACATCAACAGCATCAAGGTTGGATTCTTGTGGAAACATAACGTGAGGATTGAAGCTAAACTGATTTTTTAAAAAGTATTTATTGAAAGAAACGTTTGCAAACAGATCAAAACCAGATTTGGACAAATGAGAAGGATTTCCCGTAATAATGTCAGTTTGTTTTTCTTTTTAATGTAACATTTCTAAAAATACTCTATGATCTCACAGGATGACGTTCATCCTACACACTCTGCTTCACTAGAATTGGCTTTCACAACCACAGTTACTTTTAACATAATAAATAAGCCTGTGCGTTCTGGGCCATCATTGTTGAGGAATCTAACCCTACGCGAAGTTTTGCTTTTTCTAAATTGTTACGTTGTCAGCAAAGAATGTAACGATTCCTACTAACATGCATCAAAAATGACATTTTCTCCAAAACACAAAGGTAATGGTTAGGGTTTAGGGTCATTGCTGATTCTGACTCATATATCTTTACATCTCTAAAGCAAAACATAATGTGGTGGCGCGAATCAGGGACACACACAGACTCACACAGGATGCTTTGTGTACATTTCGGTGGTTCTGAGCCACATCACAAACACACATCTGTCCATACTGATCACCACCAGATTGTAGACACTGGCAAACATGTTCAGAAAGCTGATGGTGGTGTTCAGCTTTCACATGAAGTTGCCAAAAGGCCAGAGGAAACCTGAAGCTTCGTAAGTCACACTCAGGGGAAGAAATGATACAAAGACGAAGTCAGCCACAGCAAGGTTGAGGAACCAAACTGTGTTAACAGTTTTCTTCATCTTGAACCAGGTCACCCAGATAACCACTCCATTCCTGAGCACACCACAGATAAAGGACGGGGAATAGAGTATGAGAGACATTGTGTTGTGTATCAGCCCAATATCATTGCCAATATCAGGTGCAGTTGTACCGATTAGATCAAAGGAGTCGTTGGTCGTCTCCATCACTGTCTTAAGAATGACATAAAGAAACAACAAAATTAAATCATTTTGTAATGTCTGTTTTTCAAAGCTCTTCTTTCAGATGTGCATGCACACTATCAGTAAAAAGTTTGGACACACCTTCTCATTTAAACGTTTTTCTTTATTTTTTGTACTTTCTACATTGTAGATACATAGTGGGGACATCAATTACATGATGCAAGATATATGGAATTATGTAGCAAAGACAAAATGGATAAATAACTTTAAATATGTTGTATTTTTTAGATTCCTGAAAGTAGCCACCCTTTGCTTTGTTGACAGCGCTGCACTCTGATTGGGGCCATTGTCTTAAGGTCATTGCCTTGTTGAAAAATAAATGATTGTCCAACTAAATGCAAACCAGATGTCATTGCAGAATGCTGTGGTAGCCATGCTGGCTCAGTGTACCTTCAATTTTGAATAAATCCTTAAGATGAGCGGGTGAATTTTAAGACTGAAGTTGTTGAACAAGCTTATTTGACTGAAAAGAAACAAGATCCTTTTTTTAATCCACTAGGACAAAGAGTATTATCGAAACTAAAATTGTATAATGAAATACTAAAATAATCAATAATGAAAAGATTTTTTGACAGAAAAGCACTGAGATTTAAGACATGCAGAATGTAAGCTTATCGATTCACACAAGGCAAGCAAGAAAATCGTTTGACTTGAGCAATGGTGTCAGCTCTGAGTTTTACCATGTGAGAAAGTGAAAATAATGTAAAGAATAGACAAGCAGGCATACAGCAAGACAGGTGAATAGAATTTCTCTTTATTGAACTTAACCATAAGCTTGATTTTGGTGTTTTGTTTTTGACGTTGCAGATAGATGGACGAAATCAGTCACAGTCTTAAAAACAAAACATACATTGACCAAACGGTTTATAGAAGCTACAAATATGCCAGGAACCTTACTGTGAATTACTTTAAGTCACTATCCTATCAATTGGGCCAACCTACTTAATTGTAATAATGCCAGTGACAACATATTCCAGAAATCAATGGCCAGGCCTGAGGCTTGGGGACGCCATGAGCAGCTGCACTGTGGATTTTGAGCTGATGTGTCCCCAGCTTCTCACAGGCAGACTGCAAAATGTGCGCAGCGACAAAGACTGTTGAGCAGATAGTCCAGTTCATATGCACTCTTGAAAAAAGTTCCTTTTTCAAAGTTTTGCACAATAAAATACAATAAAATAAAAATAAAAAAGAACCATATATAATGCAAATGTTCTTTGAAACCTATTTAACACACTGTACTCCTTTTAAATGGAATTTTAATTTTTTTCTAAATATTATAAGCGTTATTAATTACATTTTAACATATATTACGGAACTCACTTTAACCACCAAAGAATTAAGAGAAGTTGTAATTCTGACAGCTATAATTTAAAATATGTTACAAAGTCATTGTCCTTACAAAAGCAACACTTTCTGTGAAACACAGTGGTTTAACTTATATAATCTTAATAAATAAGCCTATGTTATTATTTCGATCAGAGTTATGTCAGCATGATTTCACAATTCTCCAAGATCAAAACAGGAAATTATCAAAGAAAGATTGCATAACTTTAGTAAAGCTCTGTTGTTGGTGTGGATGAAGCCACTTTTGAAGAATCCTGGAACAAAGTATGAAAGGTTAATATAAGTCAAGCTAAACTGCATAAAAACAAAAAACAAAAGGAAAGGTGAAATAAGAGAGCAAAATAAGAGTCAATGTACCCATCACAAGCTAAAATTAAAAAATAAATAAATAAATAAATAAAAAAGCAGAATTTTACTGCAAGCAGAAGAGAGGGGACCAGTGTGGGGCTGCTAACATCCTGTTTTGCAATCTTGCTCGTATAACTTCGACAGTTAGCTGTCTAGCTTTGGTTTTTGACCAGTGTAAAGTTACAAAATCAATTTGAGGAAACCCACAACCAATAAGACATAATAGCATAGAGTAGAACATACTATTTAGCTTGTTCCATCTGTTCCTGATGTTTCTGCTATGAAGAGCATCCACATCAGATTTTAACTGACCAAAGATATTTCTCTGCCATCTAAAGCTTACTTGTGAGCTTTATTTTGATGTCCCTGAACTAAATTCACATCAGTTTAGATTTTACTAAATCATTAGTAAATTTAAATAAGTTTGTCTGCCTAGTGCAATGTAAAGACTAGATGATATACATGTAGCTTAAAACTACTGGGTTAGTTTTAACCTTATTTTTAATCTTTATTCAACTTTAATGTCATAGTATTTAGTGGATGAAGAAAATGAATGCATGGATGGACAGTTTCCTATGTCAGACCAAAGCTAAACTCTTAGCAGTTTCCTCCTGTCCAAAGTGAAAGACCCAGGATGTTATGGCATGCCATCTCCAATACCAGAGAACCTCGGGGCCAAGGGCGTAGATTTGGCATGGACGGAAGGGACATGTCCCCACCAATATCCAGCGATTATTGAATTGTCCCCACCAATAACTTGATCTCTTTGAGTAAAGAAAAACAAACCCGATAGAAAGAAAAAAAAAAGATCTGTCAACGTCTCATTCACCCAGTGGTGCAGAAAGAGTTAAATTACGTTCTCTACTGCGGTCCTACGTCATGTGACAAATATGGCCAATGTGATTGGCTGTGCCTTTCAGGGAGCTCTGTTTAGTTTTAGCAGCGGCAAGCCTGTGCAGTGAGGAGGAGAGGAGGATGGCAGCAAAAAGGAAGAACCTGGATATAAGAAAGTATTTTTCAAAGAAACCTGTAAGCCACTTAAAGTCAAGTTCACTCATAAAATGTGTCCGCCATAATAACGTTACAGGCTATGCTAGGCCAGGCTATGCTAGGCTTTGGCCTAGCATAGCCTGTCTAAAATTGTATGTCTAAAATTGTATGTCTAAAATTGTATGTCTAAAATTGTATGTAACCATGAATAACGTGTTTTGGAAACTAACTGCACAACATGCAGCACTATTAGTTATCTCAGTCTCCCAGAGTAGCATTTCTAATTTTGATTGAAGCTGTCAGAGAAAACGGCAGCCTCGAGCAAGCCAGGATATTAGTTTACAGAGGTTGTTAAAATTATATGTCTAACGTTAAAATGGTGACACAATAATTTCATCCTAATGGTACTGACATATTCATAGGGTTCATTTTTGAGACAATATATCATGAGGTAGTCATGATTTTGCAAATATTCCACCTTGTAGTGCAGTTTGCACAAATTGTTTTAAAAATGCACTCAGCTTACAAACATTACTGATGAGTCAAGATCTGAACAAACTGACAGAAACACTGAAGCAGCTACACATTTTATTCTTATTGTCATGTATGTCCTATTTGTCAGGTGACAGAAGAACCAACACAGAGCTCAGAGAGTAATGGTGATGCAAGATCACAGGTGAAATTGGATGATGACTTGTTGGTTCATGACTGTATTTGAAGCACATGTGTGACTGCATGTATGTGGAATGTCTCACTGTTATTCATCAGGTGACAGAGGCAGCTCTGCCATGTTGTAGCTCAGACAGAGGTGAAGATGCGAGGTCACAGGTGACTGACTGATGATTTGGTGCTATAGATTAAATAGTATTTATTATCATAACAATTGTTAGGCTGCTGATGTAAATTGTTTCATTAGTGTATATTTGACAAAGAATCTGAATTGACATGTCTCACTTTTTGTATGGCATGAATCAATGTGTTATTTTATCAGGTGGCAATATGTCCTAGTGCAGTCAGAGGGGAAGAGCCAGGGCCAAACATGAGGAACATCAAGCACAGAATAATAATTTTAATATGAGGATAAAACACATGTGCTGAGGCTGAAAGAAGCTTCAGTGCTCTCAGAAGACTAAAAACATGGCTAAAGTCAACAATGACTCAAATGAGATTAAACAATGCTGCTGTATGCCATGTCCACCAGGAGAGACTGGACAATATAGATGTAAAACAAATATGCCAGCAGTTTATC